TACAAGACCTGATATTTCCTTTGCAGTTCAGTTTCTTACTCAGTTTATGCAGAACCCAAGACAACCTCATTGGGAAGCAGCCCTACATACTCTCCATTATCTCAACAGGAACCCTTCTCAGGGATTATTTTTCAATCCTTCTTTTGACTTCAAACTGGAGGCTTATTGTGACTCTGATTGGGCTGCTTGTCCTACTACACGAAGGTCTGTTAGTGGATACTTTATCTTATTAGGAGGTTGTCCTATATCCTGGAAGGCAAAGAAATAGCCCACAGTTTCCCTTAGCTCTGCTGAAGCCGAATACAGATCTATTCGACGTGTCACCACTGAGCTTGCTTGGCTCTCTCGCTTGCTCTCTGAGTTTGACATTCCAGATATTTTACCAATTCCAGTCAAATGTGATAGTAAAGCAGCCATTTACATTGCCACAAATCCAGTTTACCATGAGAGGACAAAGCACATTGAACTCGATTGTCATTTTGTGCGTGAGAAATTACAAGATGGGCTCATTACTCTTGACTATATCCCCACTAGGTCTCAAGTTGCAGATATGTTCACCAAGAGTTTGCCCGGTCCAGTTCATCATCATCTCCTTCCCAAGTTGGGAGTTCTATCACCCACCAACTTGCGGGGGGCTGTTAGTGAATATCACACTTAGTGTTATATTTTTTCTTATTTGTTATGCTCGTGCTGATGTGGCTTAGCTTAATATGTTTAGTATAAATACTCTCTTCCTTTTCGTTTTGTATGAGTTAGTTCAGAATATTCCCGTAACAAACGCCTTCTGTTATTTCCGATACAATGGAGTTCTTCGTTTCTTCATCTTCTTCGTTAAGCTCTTGAAGTTTTCTGCTCAATTCTTCAATTTGAGCTTAAATCAACATTTTCATGTGTAGGAGATATTGGTTTCAACATTTGTCAACAGATAAAGTTGTGCTAGGTTTGGTTGTGTCAAATGTTGCTGTTTTTCTCTTGTGGAGGATTGCTGATTCTAGATTCATGTTGAAGAACTTCACTGTGAGTTGTTGTATTATGACTACGTGAGTGGACATCAACTAATAAACAGTACATGTGGCTAAATTAAGGGCTCCCTTGTTTTTCGGCGATTTGCGATTAGAAGAGCTGAAAAGAGAAGCTATTTCAGTATTTAAAAAAACAGTGTTTTACCTACACGCCATATAAATCCACATTAACATGTATTTTTATAATTCTTCTCAGATTTCAGTTGATAATTTTAAAAGCGGACGGCTGCACACATTGCTTTCATCTGCATTCAGTCACATCGATCAGTTCCATCTCATCTCTAACATGATCGGGCTCTACTTTTTTGGGACAAGTGTAAGTGCATATCTTGAAAGTTTAGGTTTTGCCAACTTTTATAGTTATATTCAAGTCAATTACTTTGAACTATTGTGAATGTAGAGGTAGTGGTGATGATTTATTATATCTTATAAGCTGCGATCAATGAAAGTTCGGAACGGAAGTGGGAATGACCTTATAGCCGTGAGACCAGAAAGGTAGAAAGTGGGTCCACTTCATTTGAGTGATCATTTCTCAATCTCACTTTGCCACAGGTGGGAAGAACTTTTGGTTCAGGATATCTTGTGAAGCTGTATATATCTGGGGCAGTTCTTGGTTCAGTATTTTTCTTGGTCTATCATGCCTTCTTCTCGCCATCGATTAAGGTAGTGCCAAATATTCTGAAAGACCATTAGATACAGAGAAACTGGGTTTCTATGTATGTCCCTTTGGCTCCTTCAGTTGCTAAGAACAGTATTTTGTGTTTTATAGGCACACAAGAGTGGAATGATGAGGATCGATACTTCGAGTGCATATGGACTGGTATTTTCTTGTTCTTCTCGTTGATTACCAAATATAAAAAAATGTCATTTTTAATATGAAAAGGGAGGTAAAGAAAAGAATGTATTGTTGTAGGCTGTGAATTTTAAGCCTTGTCATTATTCTTTAAACATTTACCCATCTTTGTCTTAGTTGGTACCCGAATTTCCAGCAAGAGAATAGTGACAAATGTTTAATATTGATCTAATCACTTAGTTTTCTGCTCATATATATATGCATTTCAGGGAGCAAGTGGAGCTGTGAATGCAATTATGTTGCTTGACATATTCCTCTTCCCCAAAAAGACACTATATTTTGACTTCATAATACCAGTTCCTGCCATCTTACTGGTCTGTGTTTTTTAATTTATGTTACTCCATGTGATTCCCTCCAGTCCTTGCTATAAGAGTGCGTTGACTTTTTTTTTTCTATATAAAAAAGTCAAAGTATTTATTATACTTACTCTAAAGTCATGTCTTATTGGTTTTCAGGGAATTTTTCTTATTGGAAAAGATGTACTAAGAATGGTGGAGGTATGCTCTTCTTGCACTCAACTCACTTTGCTTCCTCAAAAAAAATACAAAATACAAAAAACATTCTGTTCATTTGTTTTATCAGCTAGAGGCACACCACGAATGACACTACATTTGAACAATGCAAAAGTGTCTATGAGACACAACCGTGTCAAAAGCGGTGTGCCCTAGCAAGTTTGGTAATGAGTTGAGTATTGAGGTGGTGGTGGTGGTGGTGGTGTGCAGGGTGATACCCAAGTGTCGGGGTCGGCTCACATGGGAGGGGCATTCGCTGCCGCCATTGCTTGGGCGCAAATCAGAAGGGGCGGCGGTGGTGGCGGTCGACTACTCAGATTTTAGCTCTTCTTCTCAAGTGCTCTATCATTAGATATGAAGTGTTCTTTGAATTTTAGCTGTTTTATGAGCTTTTATCTTCTGTGGATGTGTTTTTGAATTGTTGGGCCAAGCCAACTGCTGCATCATCTTCAACTACTTCCCATTATTTAGTGATCCTAACATTTCAGTGTGTTTCTTTTGACATGGGAGGGAGGGAGTACTAGTATAACATTGGTCAACCAAGTAACTCTTGGAACTAAATTGTGTACAAGGAGATTTTCAACATCTAAATTGTGAGCTGAGAAGTAAAATAATATATGCTTTTGAAAAGAACACAACAAATGCTAAATATATTGAAAATAAATAAACCAACATGTTATAAATGAAATTTTATTATTTAACATGGCTTGAATACCAAAGCTGGTTATATAACCAATACTAATAACTACTCTGGGTACACACTCTCTCTAGACCCTACTCTTGTGGAATTCAATTAGATTGTTGTTGTTGATGTTGTTATAACTACTACCACACTACTAAAAAAATACTATCACTATATGTATTTTGACTCTCATTCCATTATGTAAAAAAGCTTATTTGTTTTAGTTTTATAGAGACTAAAAGTTGAAAAAATATATAATATATTTAGAATAGAGAAAATTGTGGGTTATTTATTCTGTTTTTTGTTTCAAAAGAAATACTCCGTATTTTTTTTCCGGACAGACGAGAAGCGAAAATGTTCACTTTTTTATGAGAAGAAAGTTTTTCCTCCGTTCCAAGGTTTGACTGAAATTATTTTCAACTCAATTTAGTTGAAAATTGGTATAGAATTAAAAAAATAAATTTACAAATTTAAAAAGTATATCAAAGGATTTTAAAAACAAGAGGTGACAAATTTATATTATTTTATCAAATAAATAGTAAAAATGAGTAAAAAAAAGTGATAAAAGTTTAATCTTATAAATAATAAAGTGTGAATAGCAAACTAATAACTTAAATTTCGACAGAGTACTGAGAGTATATTACTCCCTTCGTTCTTGGATATTTGTCCACTTTTGACTTTTTATGTCAAAATTGGTTAATTTTGACTTCAAATTAAATAAAAATGATATTAGATAATGATAAAAAAAATTATTTTTTAGATTTATTATATCAAATATTTTCAAAATATTATATTATCTAATTAATATACAATATATATTTCATTTAATTAAAGTCAAAGATTGAAAAGAGTTAACTGAAAAAAAAATAAAAAATAGACAAATAGAGTTAGTATATTATGAGAGTAGTTCTACTACTAACGAACTTCTAATACCTACTCATAAAAAAACTTCAAATACGGGTAAAAATTGCTTCGTAGAAGAATATTCTTTGGATATACAGCAGCACTTGATCAGCGGCTACTAACCTGGGCCAAGAAGCGCCATATAGTCATCGTTTTCACTGTGATGCTCTTCTCCCAGTACCCCCTTTAAAAGCAGAGACTTTTACACTCCGAGCAAAGTCAACAAGATTCCCAGAAACTTTCTGTCAATCTTTATGGCTGCTGCGTTTCCATGTGAGCTTTCACACCCCAGATCGCAATTCTTTTTGATTCTGCAACTTTTGTTGTTCGATTCGTTTGCATTCATGTGAATTTCTTGAGATTTTGGCCATTGGGTATTTGACGATTAGCTGTTTTTCTTTAGGTTCACTAAGCTCGTGTTTGGCAATCAATTGTTAGTTGCTAGATGCTTATGTCAACTGTTTGTGAAAAGTTGCAGTCCAAAAAACCTGTTTTTAGAGAGCTTGAAAAAATACGTTTTTTTCCTTTTGTGAACTAATTTTTGCTTGCTTTATGCATTTATCTCAAAAGAGTTCTTTTTTTTTTAATACAAAAAGCTAAAGCTACTCTCTAGAAAGCATTGCTTCTATTGCTTGCTTATACATTTTTATGATTTGGATGATGATGATGATGATGATGATGATGATGATGATAATGAGAAGCTTTTGTGATGTTATTTGGTGTGTGCATAAACATTTATATTCAATATGTGCAAACAAACCCAAGAGATGCTGAAAAAGGATTGCATTACATGGAGCATAAACCGTTTTTTGGATGAGGATATGACACAAAAGTTTTCATTGCGTTTGGGCAGGTGTTTTTACCCCCTTTGTTCTTCTGTTACTGTTTGTTGGGTGCTCTGCCAGACCGCTCTACCCGCTTCCTAGCCGAAGAAACGACCGAAACAAACAGCCCTTACAAACGTTTCGCCCGTATAACATTGCCCACCGGGGTTCAAATGGAGAATTCCCCGAAGAAACAGCTCCCGCATACATGGTACTATACAGTATTACAATAACCAAAATCCTAAATCTTCTCTCTTTGAGTGATTACTTACTTTATTAGTGTGCTTTGGTTTGGGTAATCTGATCTCACTGAGTAATATGCTTGTAGAATTATGACATACTGACTCAAAACCAATTGACAGTGAGAGGAGCAACTCATATTCATATATATTAGTCTTTTTTAGCGTAAGTGTTCAATGTGGGACTATATACTCAACACTGATGTTATTGGTATTCTAATAGAGTTTGTATTTTAGACAGTTCCGAATTTGCCCCTAACAATTTAACAACACGAATAAACTATCTCATTTCGTGAACCAAACAGCTCTCTTAGGTAATCTTGCTGTATAGTGTATACAAAATGTGAACTGCGTGCCTCGTAGGATAAGAGTTTTTGTCTTCTTCATGCATTGGGCACCTGTAACTTGAGTCTAATGCAGAGGGCTATTGAAGAAGGTGCTGACTTCATTGAAACAGATATTTTGGCTACGAAAGACGGTGTGCTAATATGCCATCATGACGTCACCCTTGATGAGACAAGTGATATAGCTGATCATAAAGAGTTTGCAGGCCGAAATAGGACTTATGAGGTTCAAGGGGCAAACACGACCGGCTTTTTCACTGGTATTAACTCTATACCTTTGCCATGTTTTCTCTCTCACATACAACAACAAACCAGTAGAATCCTATAGAAGTAGGGGTATGGGAAGGCTGTGTATGCAGTAATACAGTAAAAAAAATAGTAAAATGTTAAGTTGTACTCTCATATCTATTTCACTTTTGATTTTTTTACTTTAAAGCGCCCTATGCATAGTCTGTTTTTGTCGAATGCAGTTGATTTCACGCTCGAAGAGTTGCAGACCCTTAGAGCAAAACAAAGATATTCCTTCCGAGATCAGCAATATAACGGTTAACATTCTCTAGAAATGCCAAAAAAAATCTTCTTTTTTCTTTTCGGTCAAACACTTACAAAACAATTTTTACTATGCAGGAAAGTTTCCTATCATTACTTTTGAGGAATACATTTCAATTGCACTTGACGCCCCTAGAGTTGTTGGAATATATCCAGAAATAAAGAATCCAGTCTTTGTTAATCAGCATGTGTGTTCTTCACTCTACTCATTGGTGCTACATTTAATTAGTTTAATTAGATAGTAACTAATAAGAACCTCTCTACTTCCAAGTAGGGGTAAGGTTTGCCTACACACACCCTCTCGAGACCCTAATCTTGTGGGTTTTTACTTGGTTTTTTGTTGTTGTTGTAGACTGTTACCGATTAAGTTTAGCAAGAAACTTAACCTTTCCACTACCCTCCCACAGGTTAAATGGCCGGGTGGTAAGAAGTTCGAAGACAAGTTTGTGGAGACGCTGAGGAAGTACGGATACAAAGGATCTTACATGTCAAAGGAATGGTTAAAACAGCCTGTTTTTGTCCAATCTTTTGCCCCAACATCTCTTATTTATGCATCCAATCTCACTGACCTGCCTATGGTCTTTCTTATTGACGATGTCACGGTATTGACTGAAGACACAAAGCAGGTAAAACCCTTCATTATTCGCACATTTTTTTTCGTTTTCCCGGATACTCTTATTTTTTAGGGTATTTTTACTACTACTCTTTTGTTGTGAGTAGTCTTCATGGCAGACTATGTGAAACTGAAGTCTTATCCTCCCTTTTGAACTGTTGTGTAAAATGCCAGTCCTATTCGGAAATCACTTCCGATGCTTATCTTGATTTCATAAAGGAGTATGTGGTGGGGATAGGGCCATGGAAGGACACCATAGTTCCTGTATCAAATAACTATATGCAGCCTCCTACTGATCTTGTTGCCCGAGCGCATGCCCTTAATTTGCAGGTATACCTTTAAGTTGTCCATGCAACACCAAAGTCGTACCTTTTCAGTACTTGTGGTTAAAAAATACATACCAAAGGACTTGGTGTATATATTTTTTTTGGATTCCAGGTTCATCCATATACATACCGGAATGAGAATTCGTTCGTGCACTTCAACTTCAGTCAAGATCCATACAACGAGTTCGGGTGGTGGATAAACCAGATTGGCGTGGACGGGCTCTTCACGGACTTCCCGGGAAGCCTCCACCAGTTTCAAGAGTGGACCAGCCCATTGTCGGTAGGAGAAAAGGAGGCATCGAAACTGCTGCGTAGAATCGGCTCCATGATCACAAAGTTTGAACACTAGTATAGTATAGTATTGTTATTGCAGATTAGGTTTCATTTAGAGTTCTCAGTTCATTTTTTAGTGGTTGTGTGGGATGATTCTTTCCAATTGTGACTTGTGACATTCATCTTGCATTCTTGCAGCAGAAAGTTTGCTGCTTTTGAGTATATGCCTCTCTTTTTTTTTTCCAGTTTGTCAAAGCATTTTATACTACTGCAGCTGTATTTTGGCCTTACATTATATTTCTGATTTTTTGTTTGCTAGAAAAAAGAATGAACCTCATCCTTGAGATCTCACAAGACCCAACTTGATAGTTATTTGAGAAGAGATAAATTGAATTACTAAAATATAAGTGTGAAAAATAAGGAATTTACTGTACTTTTAGATTCTTTTTTCTTTCCTGTAAATATTGGCATCCTAATTTTGGAGAAACTCCAATCAAAGTTCTTCTGAAAATTTGTTTAGAAGAACAAAAAGGTGATTGGAGAGTGGTGCAATTGTTTTCAAAAGAAATGAGTGATCTTTTCGCAAAAGGACTACAATATATATGAGCAATTACACCTCACATCATCATCATCAACAAAGCAAACAACAACAGAATCCTACAAAAGTAGGATCCTAACCTTACCCCTACTACGGAGTGGAGAGACTGTTTCCAAGACACAAAAACTGGCGCCTTATCTGAAATTCTGCTCACCTGAAGAAATCTTGGACTCCCATACCGGCAAAGACCCTATCGGAGAGCTCAGCCAAAATGGCATTGAGAGTGAGCAAAATGACACTGGACCCAGCAATAACCCCCAACACCACTCCGGTAGTACCCAAGACCTTGTTGAAAGCCGGCCAATCGATCTCCCTTATCTCCTCCACCACCCCGCTCAAAGAATCCGGCTTTTTGTTTGCCGCTTCCCTTATTCTTGAAGCCAAACGCGATACCTCGTCATCAAGTCTACCGCCTCCATCAGCAGCTGCAGCCTTGGAATCTGAATTTGTTGGTTGAGACTGGGTTTCTTGGGCTCTTCCATTGGATTCTGTGTCTTGGGGGGCAGCTCTAGGGCAGCATGTTTTGGGATGGGTGGGAATTAGCTTGTTAGGTTGTGAGAGGCGGAGAGAAAAGAGTTTGGGTTTAATTTTGAAGCTGAATGTTGGGTTGGAGAGCTTTGAAGATGGTGGAGGTGGGAGGAAGGAGGAAAGTGGTGGTGGGATGGGTGGTTTGGAGAAGCAAAGGGGATGCGCCATTCTGATATTTGTTTGGATTATTGGTATGCAAAATAGAGGCTAATACGCATCTGCAAGAGAGGATTAAAACTATGAAAAATCAGTAGATGTATTACTATTAGGAGAAAAAATACGTCACTAGTCTCTGAATTATGGTTTGACTTCACGTAGTTTAAAAAATGTTGAATAGTAAAATGTGTATAGTTGAATTGTTTGAAAAGAGAGAGTTGTCCACCTTCCAAAATAACACAAAATTTAAAAATGAAGGTGGATTAACAACAAAATGCAAAAATTGAAACTAACCTATCTGCATCGATGGCGACGATATTAATATGTGAGATGGGATAACAACAACAACAACCCAGTTAAATCCCACAAGAGTAGGGTCTGGGGAGGGTGTGTGTACGCAGACCTTGCCCCTACTCGAAAGTAGAGAGGCTGTTTCCAAAGAGACCCCCGGCTCAACGTCGAAAGTTGCATTGCTTGACTAAATGCTACTTCATTAATTAAAGAAGCGCAAATAGTTTAGAGATCCATTTTGATTTATTCCATCACACCCAAAGCCAAAAAATAGTGAAATTTTGGCTCCATCGGAGATGATGGAAAGAAATATGTGAGATGGGATACTTTTGATAATTCAAAAATACCGGATTATGTGTTTACTAAATATAGAAAGTGAACAATTGATTATGAACAACCAAAAAAAAGGAAAAGTCGACAACTTAATCCGGATGGAGCGAGTATTTGAATTGTGACATGGAATGCTTATGTGGAGAACTATACAATCAATAAAAGTTCTTCCTTTATAAATATACTCTCTCCATCCGAAATTAGTAAAATGAGTTAAAAATGTCAAATACAACAACAACTCAGTTGAATCCCACTAGAGTTGAAAATGTCAAATAAGTCTCTCAAATAAGTTTCACTTAATCATGTCAACAATGCTCATACCTCATCTCCAAGGATAATTTAGACAGTTCATTATAATTTCCTTATTGGATACAGAAAGTAGACAACTAATTCCGGCCAAATGAAAATAAGAAAGTGGACAATTAAATCCAGACGATGAGCATATATGTTTTTCTTCCAATGGAACTCCTATTGAGTTAACAGACACTTACTTTTTCTTGTAACAGGCATTGCACTTTTTCTTGTAACTTAATGAATATAGTACGACAATAACACTAAATGGAGTGGCTATATCAACTCCCTTAGAAAAACAACACTTTGATGAAACAAAATGGTTTCCAAATATCTTTGAGATTTTCCTCTTTCAATGGGAATTAAATACTTTCTCCGACTCTGTTCTTCTGAAGATATCTGTTATTGAATCCATAATGAGTTCATTTCTAGAAATGAGTTTCACAATCTGCTAGAACAATTCTAAGCAAAAGTCGTTTTGAATTGGAAGTGTAAATGAGAGTTCAATAGCTGGAGAAAAATAAGTGAATCTAACTTAGCATTTAAATCCAATCTTATTTCTATGAACCCTAGGAAACTGGATTAGCAATCAACTCAAATACTCCGTAATCTATGTATTAGCTATTAGAATAAAGTGGATAAGAAACTGCGAGTGCTTTGAGAACAGACCTTAGAGAAACAGATACAGGCGACAATGGAGGACGCGGCAACGGGGCGGAGGAAAGGTTCAGATGGCCGAGACCCAGCCAGTCTCTGAGACTCTTGACTGAAGACCGGCTGAAGAACGGTGGCTGAGAGCAGCACCGGCGTTTGATTTGGGATAAGGAAAGGGTTTGATTTGATTTTTTTTAATTAGGAAAGTTTGATTTGATTTGAATTGGGAGGATTGTCACTTGTCTTTTACTCCCTCCGTCCTATAATGATCTTCCCAGAGCACTATTCCAACTTTACGGAAATTTATATTTATTTGTGTT